TTTTCTGCCATGTTTCATTAAACAAATTAATAAACATTCATCTCTTTGTGTTTTTATAAATGGCCGACCAGATTATTGGCGATTTTTTATGTATATATATATATATATATATATATATATATATATATATATATATATATATATATATATATATATAGGCCTTGTTTTAAAGCGTTACGCCTAGAGCGATTTTTACGTATGCGTAGTTTTGTTTTTTACGTTTTTACGTACGCACGTTTTGGTTAAGCTACTTTTTATCATTTTTTAACTTTTAAATTAACGGTAACATAAAAGAAGTAATTAATTTTAAAAAAAAACTACATTAACTTTTGAATAACAATATGTATATACAGGCCTCGGCGGGAACAAATGAGCACGAGAGCTGAGAAAAGCTCTCCTAAAACGAATTTGGGGAGCTGTGCAAGCTGCTCCTCATTTAAATTAGCACTCTTTTGTAATTTTAATTATACCTTCATGAGAAAAATTATACTTTTTGCGAGAGCCGTAAATTGCTCCTGTAAACTGTTTTAGGGGAGTGTGAGCGAGAGCGAGAGCTAAAGCTCTCGCTTCCCGCCGAGGCCTGTGTAAAAATATTCATTACAAAAAAGAAGTTATGTTAAAAATAATTGTAGTAACTTTTCATCGCGATATATCTTACCTTTTTATAACAATTAATTTTACGCTGAACTTTTTATTCAAATATTTAGTAACATGAAAAATTGTTCGTCATTCCTTAACTACAAATTTTTTGCAAATGTTTTTAATAAAAAGTAGTACTTTTTTAAAGTTTTCAGTAAAAAAATTTTAAAAAATCTATATTCCTAATTTATTAATACAGAATATAAATGTTTTTTGTTATATAGATTTTTTTAAGAGTTTTTTACTAAATTTATATTATAAAACATTTGCAAAAAATTTGTAATTTTTGACATTTTTTTTAATATCTCAAAAAATGTCTTTATATTTTTGTTATCATGATAACAAAAATATCATGACGTTTTTTTGAGATATTAAAAAAAATGTGCCAATGAATGAACAATCTATTTGTATTGTACTAAAAAATACTTCATTAATTATTACTCTTTGCTTCTCTTATTAGTTAAAGGTACCTTTACCTTTAAGTTATGTGGGGGGAGGGGGCCGGCACAGAAAAAAATTACCTGTTACTCGCAATTTTTGAATGAAGACAATTTGTTTAATTTCTTCTGCGTGCAATTCAATAAGTTTTTTTTTTCATAAATCAAGTTATATTATAAGGTAAAGAAATCATGAGTAGACTATAACATCTGCTGATGACACTAATATTACGTTGAATATATAACGGAGGTTTCATTATGCACGCGCACGTTACAGACTCTGTTAAATAAATACTAAAGCACATTTTAGTTTAATGACAGTCTCTATTTTTTACTAATGACTATGTATTTTTCTGTACAAAATAAGACAATCTAGTATATAAAAACCTAGTATATTTCTATTCTCCCCAAATTGTTTAAAGTTCGAATATGGATTGTATTTTGAAGGACAAAAGATTTACTTTAAAAACTTTTAAATCCTGGGACTTTGATCGTTTTACAGGGTTATTCATTTTTATATGCGTGTCTATTGATTTTTATATGCGGTATTATTCATTCTTATATGCGTATTTATTCATTCTTTAATGTGTATTTATTCATTCTTATATGCGCATTTATATGCGAATCAATGGTTCCGCCCTATCAATAATGGATTTATTGATAGGGCGGAAACATTTAAACCTGGAGGAAAGTTATGTAACCTTTGCTTAACTGAAAAATACCATATCATTACGTCATCTTTGAAACTACTGAATAAACGAAATGAACTAATATCAAAATGTCGCCACGAAAACAAATTTGTTATTTGCAACTTTAACGTCATCTAAGCTAACACTGTATTGTATTTTTGTATATAATTTTTGTTGTTGTTATGGTTGTTTGTAACGTCTGATGATCGCATAAAGCGTGAAACTCCGAGTTATGTTTTAAATCTAATTGTATTTATTTTATTATTAATTTAATACATATTTGCTCTACTTTTGTATTGAGCACTGTCTACCGAGAAATTACTTTTATTATTGATATATATATATATATATATATATATATATATATATATATATATATATATATATATTATATATATATATTATTTTACTAAATAATATTGAACTAAAATTAATATTAAAATAATCATTGAAAACATAACAAACTTTTCATAATAACTAGTCATTTGCCTCTTCATCTCTCAATAATTGTTAGTGCTTCATTAATCCATCCATTATTACTTGCAGTTGTATCAAACGATACATTATCAACTGCTTCATTTAAAACTGTAACTAATTTCAGCTGGGGATCATTTAGATCTGGTGAGCTTAAAGTTACTGCCAACCTTTCCACATATTTGCCATGATTAAGAACATATGTAATTTTTTTGTTTGTCCATGTGAAGGGTCACAAAAAAATAAGTGTTTAGCTTTTGAGATTTTAATTACTATATTCATTAAGACCGTTTTATTTATGCCTTCTTGAAGTAGTTTCTTATTGTAAAACTTATTCAAATCTCCATTATCTGTATTTATGATACTTGCAATTATAGATACCTACCCTGTTGAAGAAATATTGTATCTTTTTGCAACAATGGATGATGATTTAACTATATTTTTAGGCAAAGAAACAGTTAAAAAATTGTTGTTATTTTTTCCCTTTTTAAACTGCATTCTTTAAAGCCTTTATCTAATTAAGCTGAATCTACAAATTCAGAACCAGAATAATTTTTAAGACTTGATTGAAAAATGTTGTCAGGCAATGGTTGACCTATCATTTTTGTTTGATATTGATTTTAACCATCTTTCTTTTTATAAACTTTTCATAGCATTTGCCTTTCAATCCATTGACCATTTTTGCAGGTCTTTTTGGTCATTCAAAAACATACAGTCTTTTTCTCTGATTGAAAGTGATTTAGTCTTATCTCTCATTATTATACCATTAGCATCTGAAGGAGAAATATTGAAAAGATTATGCATTTCTTCCTGAAATTCTATGTCAGTATGTTATTCCTATAAGAAATAAGTATAAGTTAGAAAAGTAAAATTAATTACTAACATTTTATCATATTTATACCAATATTATTTTCATCGAAATTAAAAATTACAAGTATTATTTATACCTTATTTTTTTATGACACAATATTGGAACTGAAGCCTTTTCCCATATGTTAACTATGGTTTTAGTCACACACATTAAGTTGTTCTCTTTTTGCTGACAACCACCAGATTGGTATATTTAGGCATAAAAATATTTTTTAAAGAGGACAGGCAACCACGTCCTGAAGTCTAACAGATTTAGTAATTGATCTCATAAAGTATTTTCTATAATGAAGATATCCAAGCCTTTCTCCTTTTGTTGGCAGCTTATTTTAAGGTAGCTTTTCAATGGTTTTTTCTATCAAAAAAACCTTTTTTGTTTACATATATTTTTTCAAATTCCAGACAATAGTAAGTACAACGCTTAATTAAAAATTCCTTTTAGATGTTAATTTTTTTAAATAAACATAAAACTCCAGTACTTTATGTTTATTTTAAGTATTATTTATTAAGTCATGTACTAGTGTAAACAATCCCTTTTGCTAAAACAAGGAAATTACAAGAAAAGCCTTAAAATTTTAATAGACTGGAAGAGGTAGTAAATAAAATTTTAAATAAAAAATATATATTTAATATTCTCTGTGTACACATCAAAACGTACCAGAAATTAAAAGACCTTCAAAAATCAGAAATTTTGCGGAAATGGTGGGGGCTAATATATAAATATACACACACACACACACACACACACACATACACACACATATATATATAATTATTTAGATAAAATATTTATAAGATTTTTAATACTTATGTAGCCTTATCTATATACACAGACCTGGCTATAAATAATTATTCTTATATTTATTTTATTAACAATAATGTGGAAAAAAAAAAGTAATTGTCAAAAATAATTATTGATTTATAATAGTGAATAAAATAATTAGTGATTAAAGATTTAGTTTTTTTTTTTTAATAATTTGTAGTTTAAATATAATTTAAAATAAATTGTATGAATTTATTTATTATAACTATTATTATATCTACTATTATCAATATTATTCTTGCTTTAGGGAGTTTTTTCAGTTTTTTAAAACTAGTTTGGTCGCTTTTCATATGCGCAAACATACTATATCATCGACTAGTTTTGACATACCTTTTGACATATTCATGCCCAAACTTTAGGTGTCAAAATATTGTATCTCTAAAGATTCCTAAATCTCTCTTTTATAAAAATTATTTCCTTATTTTTAATTGTTATTTTATATATTATAATAAAAAATTATAATTTTCCGACATTATTTCAACCAATATAATCTTTGCAAGTTTTACAATATTTTTCTGTATTATTAATATTTTACAATTTTTCTGTATTATGTTACTTTTTTGAACTAATGAATTAATATGTTTTACAAGGTGTTCAGAAACTTTGTATGGTGGTATTAAAATATTACTCAAGTTATTAAAACTTTCAAAAATAATATCTATTGGGATTACGTAAAGTTGCTGAAACCAGAAAATAATTTTTATAAAAAACCTATTAACGAATTGTTAGAGATTTTGACACTCAAAATTCAGGTATAAATAGAGATGCTGGCAGGTATGTCAAAACTAGTCAATGGCAGGTGTGTTTGCGCAAATGAAAAGAAACCAAACTAATTTAAAAAAAATGAAAAAACTGCCTAACACAACAAATTCAAAATCAAGCCAAAAATAAGTTTATCTTTGCAGTACAATCACTTCTATCATCTCAGATTGAAAAATACCTCCAACAATTGTTGAAATATCCCTGTAGAACTATATTTATCTGAATAAATTAATACGTACTTAATTTTTTTTTATTTATTATTATTACTACAAATAAACTTTGCATTAAAACTATAAAAAGAACTTTCACCTTATCTCTTGTACAAATTTGCAATTTTCCATTTACTGATATGACACGAGCAAACTTCATATAGCGTCTAAATTACATTAAACACAGTTTAAATTTAATACATTAAACACAGTTTAAATTTAAACAAAAAACTTATGAAAAAAAATTTTGTAACAAAAAAAAAAGTATGTAGAAAAGATTTAAATAAACAAAACAAAAAAAACAAGAGATGAATCGCTTATATAAAAAATGTAGTAAAGTTCAATTATTTTTTCCTCTTTCTTTAGATTTTTTGAAACTGCAATTTTAAAATGGGATAGTTCAATATTAAATGTTAATAAGACTTCAACTTAATTCAACTTAAAAAATTCAATCCATCAAAATATTAAAAATTTTACTTATAGTCAAAATTGTTCGAAATACCAAGATGGTGACAGTCTCTTAAAAAATAATCCCATTTGTCCACATCAACACCAGTTTTCTTGTTTGCAACTATCTATAAATATTTAAAATATTTCATTTCAATTTTTAGACTACTTTTTATTTTCTTTTTGAACCAATAAATAAATGAAACACTTTGTGTTATAATTTCACCTCATATAAGAAGCTTTTATCGGCGTCCCTTCCATGATAAGGCCATAACTATAATGTTAAATATACTTAATATTAAAATAATTGCTGTGTGTTTATTGACTACGTAGTTTATTATTAGTTTGTTATATTGTCATTTAAGTTAAATTGTATCTATGAAACTGGTTAATGGTTTAGACATTTAGTTTAGTACCCTTGAAAAAATAATCATTCATTGCATACTCCAGCTTTTTAAAGTTTATTTAAGTAAATGTTGTTATGTATAGCTTGTTGTGTATGAGAATGTTGCTAATAAGTGTTCAATTCTATTAAAAATCATATAACCATGACTGTTAATTAAAAATAATTTTTTTTTAAATATTTTGAATTAACAGAATAACTCTTTAAATCTAATTAAATATTATTTTTTCTATAAAAAAAATTGATTCCAAACTTAATACTTAAAGTTGCATTACATTAGTAACTAATTTGAAAATATGATTGAAACAATATTTTTGAAGTAACGCAACTTTAAATAATTTTTTTTATCACCAGTCAAAATGATGATTTCAAAATGATTTTTATCAACTAGAATCAATCAAAAGCCTCACCTTAAAAAGAGTTTCAAAGATGAATTATAAAGAATTCTCAAATCAAAAAAAAAAAAAAGAAATGGAACAAATTCTCAAAATAAGCATAGAACAAAAAATACATTAAAGTTATATGAACTAGTCAAAAAAATTATCCTCCAAATAAAACAAAGAAAGCCAAAGAATAAGAAAAAGGAAAAACCTAAAGGAAGAAGAAAAGATAGAAGACTAAAAAAAACAAAAAGATGGTACAAAACACTGAGGTTTAACAAAAAAATAAAACGAACATGAGTTTTTTGAGCATGGAACAAGAGATTTTAAGATGCAACTGAATCATGCAAGAACTCAATCATGTAAATTCATGATCAAGTTTTGGTTGACGAATCAAGTGATGCTTGATTAAGCAGCATAAAAGAAGAAAAACGAAAATTATTTATTTTAAATGATGCTTTTATTATCATTATAAAATAAAACCTTAAAATGATGAGACAGCAACTCAAGTTTAGTAGTAAGAGAAAATTCAACAACAATTTATTTTAAGACTTTGTTTAAAAGTGAGAGGGCCTCATTAGGAGTGCTAACTAAAATATGACAACTGTATTCTATACAAAACATGACAACAAAAATATGACAACTCTTACCATAACAACTATCTATTCTATACAAAAACAAATAAGAGATTATTAGGTAAAAAAATATTAAAAGTAGAAATTAGAATCAAGAAGAAAAAGATGGCAGGCATAATAGAGATAACTTTAGCAGGTGTAAACTTTTGAAATAAATTGTGTATATGGTATTTATGAGAGGTAACTATCTATATATATTGAAAAATAATCCAAGAAGACATAAAGTAGATGATTAAGTAAGTTAAGTAAGTTTTCATTGATCAATATAGAAACATCAGTTTTATTGTAACAATTATTATAAATAAGCTGAGTTTTGATTGGATTGAAATTTACCAGCCACTGCAAGTTATCTCAAAAGATCATATTTAAATTTATCTGCCTGTTTTAAGTGACAAAAAGTGATGACATTTAGATTTTAAACTTAATAATGTTTAGATTTTAAACCTTAAAGGTTTAATATCTAAACATTACTAGACTTACTTCCTCTTTGTGAGACGCTATGATTAAAACAGCAAAATTTAAATTTGGCTGGTTTGGATTATAGTATAAAGGGTATTTGATTCACAAATTCTCAATTTGTCACATGCTTGGTCAGGGCACATACGTACGTATCATTTCACTTACTTGCTATGATATCAGGTTTGAATCCTCTGATTATTCTTTAATCTATTTTTTTCTTTAGAGATTTTCTTACGTGTTAAAATTTTATTTACAAACAAGTGATCATTTCAAAATTAGATTAACGAAAAATAATCTTATTTTAATGTTGAAAAAAAAATCACTGGTATCTGGTATAAAAACATCACTGGACTTTTAACAAGTGTAAAGAAGTAAAAACTAGAAATGAAAAGTCTAAAAAGTAGAAGAATAGGACTAGTATTAACAGACTCAGGGAATTCATATAACTTACTGTGGTCTAAACTAAAATATACATTTTGTTTGTTACATATGTTGTTTTGAAAATTTTGTTTACGCCTTTTTTGTAATGTTTATTAAATTTGATTCTTTTTTGTTGCATCAAAATAAAAAATAAAAATGAAAATTAGAACTAATATATATATATATATATATATATATATATATATATATATATAAATAAAACTAGTATAATATATTTTAGTACCTGTTCATTAAGATTAGCTTCGGTTGGTCCAGCAATAAGTTCACATATAAAGCACATATCTCTTGCAGTAAAACCATTCTCTTCAAACAAGTTTTTTAAGTTATTTTCAGATATCATATGATTAAACATATCAACAGAAGCTTGTTCATGCTATTAAAAACAAAAAAAATATTTATGTACTTGTTTTTTTTTCTTTCTTTTAACGTTCAAAAACCATCCATACTTGTGTGGTTTAAATAGATTTCCATAATGGCATTTTTTATTTTAAATGCAAAATTTAAGAGTTAAAGCAATTTTATTACAATAAAATGACCTTCCTGACATTAACCAGTTTTTCTGTCATAATATGCATATATATGGTGCATTCCATAGAAACTTTGAAAAATTCGTGATTTAAAAAATCTTTTTTTGACTGTTTATGCCTATGGATTATTATAATATATACTTTATATTTTCTAAAATTAATATAAATATAAAAAATATATAAATATCAATAAAGTATATTTAATAATGTTATACTTTAAGTATATGTGATTGCAATTTTTCAAAGGTTTTTTGATACGTAAAGTGAGAAGTTAGATGCACTATTTCATAACAAAAAAGATTTTTAACCAAAAGTAATTAATAAAATATTTGACGAGAGTAGTGAAAAAATATGCATTATGTCAGTAAGAAAAAATATATAAAAACTTAGTTCTTGCAGTAAAAATTTTAAATGAAAATTTTTTTTTTTAATAAAATGTAACTCTTAATTATTTAAAACAAAACTTTATTATTATTTTTTCTATAAAAAAAATTGATTCCAAACTTAATACTTAAAGTTGCATTACATTAGTAACTAATTTGAAAATATGATTGAAACAATATTTTTGAGGTAACGCAACTTTAAATAACAATGAATTTGTAAAATCCAGAGTTTAGGCTCAAAATATCAAAGTAACAACAGCATCCCAATTTGCAAAGGCAGCAGAAAATATGGATGTCAAGGTTATTTTGGTTGACGTTGATGAAATTAAAAAATGCAATAAAGAGATTGGATTGTCAAAAAAAAAACATTATTTCGAAGTTCAAACTATTACTAAAAAAAAAAGAAAGTTATTGAGAAAATTATTGGCAAAAAAACCGCACCTAGTTCTCCGCGCAGTGGTCTTGCTTGTCAAGGTTCGTTGTACCACGATTTACAACAAAAAAATAAAAAAAATAAATAAAAAATGAGTAGCCTCCTCAACTGTAGTGGCCCCCTCGGGCCTTGAGGAGGTGAATAATTAAAAAAAGAAAAAAGAAAAAAACTAATCAAAGTTTATATTATGAAACTGTGATTAGAGTGGAAGAAAATAAGAAAAAAAAATTGGATTTTTTATTTTCGGGTTGTTTAGTGTAATTATTTCTGGTCAATGTAACAGTGTTTCATGGCCTTTACTTTTGAAGTATTTATAAAGGAGTCACACAAAAATTTACCAAACTTTAAAATTAAACTTGAAGCAAACGAATAGTTGTTTTTTGTTATTTGAATTTTTGGTTCAAATTAAAATAAAAAAAATCTTTGACGTTTAAGCGCTTTTTCATTTGGGCGCCAACAGGCTACGCCCCAAGGTTTACTGGAATTATATAACACCTTCAATATACCAATTTTATCAATAGTAAATGTTATTAAAAAATAAAATAAAACTTGACTAAATTAGCATGTTTTTAAACAACTATGATTCTCTGAGTTAGAGTGTTATGTCAGTAACGTAACATCAGTAATTTATGAACTTCAGTATAATATCTTCTGCAAAGGGAATTGATACACCTAAAGCTTATATGTACAACAAATTATCTAGATAAATGAGTCTTTAATTCAAAGTAATTTTTCAGTTTATTTTTTTTTTATCTTTCAGAGAAACTTGAAGTCAAATTTTAATATTAGAAAAATAGCAGATCATAGTGTTATATCAGTAACAAACAAATATTTTCCAACTTGAAGATAAATACGAATAGTCTGAAAATTTTATATATACACTAATATTACCAATATATATAAATACATTTTTACTTTTATTACAAGGATCTAATATAAATAGAAAGTATTCAAATTAGGTATGAAATTTGCAAAAGTTACATCAGTAACTATGGAATGCACCATATATACCTTCAATATATCGGATGGACACAGAAAAATCCGATCAACTTTAAATTGAGATTTCTCTGAAACCACAAATGCTTTTTATTTCTTTTATTTTTTTAATTAAACATTACTTCCTTATCTTTAATCGTGTTGATAAAATTTTGTTTACAAATCAATGATTTGCAAAATGTTTCAGAAACAAATTGATGTGCGTAAAAAAGCTGTGAATTTTTTTTGCAAAAATCCATCGACTTCATATCGCTTGATTGCTAAAGGTACAAATATCCTAAAATCTACAGTTATAGATATTATAAATAATTTCAAGACTACTCAAATCTTCGAAAGAAAACCTGGAAGTGGAAGAAAGAAAACTTTCCGTAAATCCAAAAAGGTGAAGTTGATTTTACGTTTAATAGCAAAAAATCCAAACCAGTCACAACAAGATGTAGCAAGAAAATTCAAGATTTCACATTCTTATTTCAAAAAAGTATTTAAAAATGCTGGAATTAAAGCATTTCATAAGAAAAATACACTTAAGAGAAGCTTAAATAGTGAAATTACAGAAAATTGACACGCAAAGAAGTTGGTTAAAATAATGGCTGATAAAAGTATGTGCATAATTGAAAACAACAAAACATATTGCAAGGCAGATTTTTCACAACTTCCTGGTCAAAACTTTTACTATGAGAACAAAGATAAACCTGTCGATGATCAATTTAAATATATTTGACAAGAAAAATTTGCATCCAAGTTCCTTGTATCACAAGCAATTTATAGCTGTAGTATGCAGTCCTCTTGTTTTGTCACTAAGAAGAACTTAAATGCTAATCTCTACATCAAAGAATGCCTCCAAAAAAGACTTTTGTCATTTATGAAAAAACACAAATACCGATGTCTCTTTTTCGCCAGATCTTGCTGCTTTTAACTAAAACACAGTGGTGCAAAGGTAATAATGAGAAAATTGTTTCTAAAGATGCAAACCCTCCGAATCGTCCTGAAGAGTGCAAGATTAAAGATTTTTGGGCAATAGTTAAAAAAGTTCTTCTAAGACAAGTGGAGTAACAAAAACAAAAAGAACTTCCAAAAAAAGTGGATTAATGCCACCAATAAAGTGAAAAAGAAAAAATCTGCGAAATGTTGGCATCAACCCCCTATAAAATTTGATCACTTGCCAAACAGTTCATAAAGCCCCTTAAAATTAAGTTGAAATTTTAATTGATGTTAACACATTTAATAATAAAAAAAATTAAAATAAAAAACATTTATGGTTTTAGAGAAATCTCAATTTAAAGTTGACCGGATTTTTCTATGTCCACCTGATAAATATGTTGTTATGTATGTTACAGTATTAATTTTGAAAAAAAGAAAAACATTAATTAAATTTGATGTAGATTGATAAGCTAATGAATTTCAAAACTAAGCAATTTCAAAACTAAAAAAATTATCTCTTCAAAAATTTGTTACATAAAGTAAACTAATGAGCTATAAAAATATAAGCTATTTTGTAAAGATTTCATAAAATTTTAGAGTGTGGGGGTTAAATAAAATAAAAACAACAAGAGCCCCTCCAACTTTAACTTTTGCAGCTGAATAATTTAGTCAAAACTTGGATTTCAATTAATGACTTTAATAATCTTATCAAAAAAATCTTCCAAAAACTATATATATCATAACATTATAAAAGTGATGTGTCATTACTCAAGCATTTACTGAAGAAAAATGAAATAACTCAACTAACTACTTAAAGGTATATATATATATATATATATATATATATATATATATATATATATATATATATATATCAGGGCGCAACAAACCGTTTTTATTTCACGGACGTTGACAATTGTATTTTAAATTATTGACGAAGGTTTAATTTAAGTGTCAAATAAGGGAGTTTTATATTCAAATAAATTTTTATTCTAGTTAATAAGCTTTTGGATATATGAAAGATGGTTATCCAATTTAATCAATTGTCATATTTTCGAAACAATTTTTCACATATTTGCAAAGTGCGCTCAAATTATTGATTTTTAATATGCAATGATTGTATACTGTTATTAAGCAATGCAAAAACTTTTTTTTTTTTAATTTAGTTTATTAAATTTATTTACTCATAAAATATATATATAAACGTAAAGAAATTGAAATAAAAGGAACTAAAGAAATAAATTGAAAAATGACGCCTCATTTATAAATATATATTAGTTTTTATATTTATATAAATGGATTTAAAAATCGCTAGAACTTTTTAATTTATGGCCTTCCAAATATCTAATACCAACCGCTACGTCAATTCAATTTTTGACATGTTTTTGGGGCAAATAGTCTTCAATTAACTGGCCATCAAGCTTTATACGCATAATATCTTCTAAAGTATTGTCATTTAATGAAGTTCGCAAAATATTTTTTTGTAAGTTCATACAAGAAAAACTGCGTTCGCAACTTGCCGTTGAAGCGCTGAAAGTTAGCATAATCTCTAAAAAGACATTTATACTTGCCAATTCGGGTTCATTTTCCAAGATATCTTTATAAATGCTTAAAAATGAATTTGTCCTTAGTTTAAAGACTTTCTCCCTGAATAAAGGCCATTGCAATCCACATAAATTAGAAGTTTCTCTGTTTATCATATTATTGTTCTCATAAAAGTTGCAAACACTTTTTATTTCATAAAATCACCATTTTTTTTATCTCTAGCGAACCAGTAAAGGATTTTGGCCAGTTTCGACAATCAAATATTGCAGTTAAAGATTTTGATGGTTCTTGATTTAAATCACGGCAGAATCGCTTGTCTATATATTATTTTGCTCTGTCGAAAATTTTAATAAAACATTTTTTATTATAATAACCAAAATAATCATTTGGTTATTGTCTAACTAACTCATCAATTCTCTTTAAATTACGCTTTTTTAATGCTGTTAAATCAATACCTTTGTAGATTAACTGATCTTCTTTTACTTTTAAATTATCTAGCAAACGTCCAATATTCGAGCCTGGATTAACTGATAACGCGTCTAGTACAGCAATTCTTGCATCAACTTTA